CCATTTACTACACAAATTACATTAAAAGGATAATATTCCATAATGTAATAATAAATTATGCACCCTTGCCGTGACAGGTGGGTTTCCAGCTCAGGGTAGTTGCGGCTCTATAGGTAATTCCCAAATAGAGGTAAGTAAAAGTACCATCAGTGTCCCCCACCGATAAGAAATATCTTTTGCACAAAGCTGTTGTAGGAGAGACTGCAGAGTTATACTCCAAGTGAAGGTGTTTCTTGTAAGGTATGAGAACATTAACAAGATGGTACCTTCAAAAGGCAATGGAGTTTTCCCTCGGGTTGCTGCAAGTAGTAGAGCCTTGTCGTGGAGGGAATGGAAGTGGATAATGAGGTCCACAGTCGCCGTCGGGGGGGCAAACACCAGTTTTGGTAGGCGGAACATTCCATCTAGTTTCACCAATCTAGCTTGTTTGGGCAATATCAATACTGCGACTAAGTGTCGTAGGTCACTGAGGCCCAGGAACTCTGGCACACAGGGAACCTTGAGGTTATATTTCCTCTGTTGATCTTCCAGCACATCCACTCTGTCCACAGTGGGGAGTTGTGTTCGCTGTATTTCATCAACTTTCTGCTTGACTACAGTGAGCCTGGTATCTCATGGAGGCCTCAATAATCATGATCATAGCACTGGCGCCCTTGATGGCATCTTTGAAGTAAGCTATATTCGTGGCTATATTTTTGTATAAATCTGTGAACATGTTCTTAAGCAGTCTGCCGTTACAGTTTCTCTGGCTGTGATTGGTATGGGCATTTGCCTTGCAATGCCCCCACTACAGGATCATAGTAGATATCTTCCGAGGAGTAAGAAGAACCCTCTTCCTCCAGTGCTATCTTCTCTATTGTGGCCCTTTGAGAGCTCCTTAGGAGTTCTCCAATATCTCGGTTGGTAGGACCTTTATTGGCCGTTGGCCTTTTATTTTCCCTGTCAATTATGTTTCTGTACTTGTATATGTGATTTATTGCTGGGTGTGTGCCCAATTTCCATCAATATTTAAATTTTTGGAAGCAAATAGCTCAGAGCTCAAGGTAGTGCGATTATTTCAGTCCTCTGCTAGCCTACCTCCTGTGATTCTATGGTGATCTTTTGCATTCAAAGAGGTCTGGGAGTTGTAAGCTATCAACACCTGGGGGACCACTATTTGAGTAACATGTGGTTGAACACTGTGATCCATGCAGAAGCCCAGCTGTGATGGAATTTGAGAGCAGCATTTAAAAAATAAAATGTTTGCCACAAGTTATGCAAGTTGAAAGAATATTAAAGTGACACTCCACTGCAGATCACATGTCTGGCACCCTTGCAAGCTCTCCCCTTCTTCCCCAGCCCATACTTGCTCTGGTTTCCAATCACACACTTCTCAATGCAGCTCAATGAGAAGTCTTTGCAAGGCAGCTAACTACACCAGGAAGTAACAGGACCTGTTGTCTGATTGCCAGCCATGGGCGTGTAACAAGATACATTTATAAAAGTGCAGATCTGTACTTTTTGAAAAGTGAAATAAAAAGAGGACACACTCTTCATACATTACGTTTTTCAGCAAGCTAATGTGCTTTGGTATTTGAACTGTAAATTTAAATATCATTATGTCTTCATCCATATCTTAAAGGGACACTATAGTCACCCAGACCACTTCAGCTCAATGAAGTGGTCTGAGTGCCAGGTCCCTCAGGTTTTAACCCTGCAGATGCAAACATAGCAGTTTCAGAGAAACTTCTTCCGGACAGCCACTAGAGGCGCATCTGCGATGCTGGAGGCATATTATTGAAAAATGCTTTCCTATTGACAGCCTGAATGTGCACGCAGCACTTGCCGCGCATGCGCATTCGACTCCGCTGACGTCGGCAGAGGGAGTTGACGTCGGTGGGGGAGGAGAGGTCACCAGCGCTGAGGGAGCCCGGCGCTGGAATAAGGTAAGTAACTGACGGGGTTTCCCTCAGGGCACTATCGTGTCAGGAAAACTGCTTATCCTTTAACTTTAATCCTATTTAACTTTATCCTTTAATTTTAATACTATCCTTTAACTTTAATACTATTTAAAGCCACCATACTCTAAAATAGTGCAATTCCAATTAGCATGAGTCCAGGGTTCTCTATTCCTATCACAGAGCATGCAGAGTTAGAACCCTCAGACAGTCAGACAGACAGCACTGCTGAAATACAGCCATAAATAACTCTGCATTGAGTTAATGACTGCAGTGTTATTTTTATCAGGCACACAGGTAATGACCGTCAGACTAAGCACTAACCAATGCAGCTATGTTTGATGACTTCGGCTTCGACTTTGCTCCTAGAAATCCTCAATTTCTGGCCGTTTATGGTTGCGTGGTAACCTCTGAACAATGAAATAGGAACTATGAATCTGCAATTGCTTTTATACATGACAGCTGAGAAAACAAATGCACAATAGTCTGGATGTTAGATATCATGACAGCTTATATTGATAGTAAAATTCTCACCTACCTAGGAAAGTGGAATATATGGGATAATTGAGGAATATGGTTTCAGAATGATTATTATTAAAAGTTGCTGTAGTTGTTATGGGGCCAGGAGTGCTCTGACCTCCCCCATTACAAGTCATTTCAGAAAGTTTTGACTTCTTCTATGTTGACTGCTAGACGCCGCTTCCGACCTCCTCTCAGCTACCAGGAGAGCAAGAAACTCTTGCGTAGGAGATTCCGTTAGCTCTCCTGACCCCAAACCTGCAGTGCAGGGATACCTACCTGGCTGAGAAAATCAGCTGATTGCTTTAAACCAATGAGTTAAGCCCTGCAGTAGCAGGCTTACCTCAGACAGAGAGTCTTAGCTTTTGGCTGTCATGTAAACTGTAGAGAAGGTGGAGAGCAGTGCCAAAAGACCCCAGGTGAATTGTTCTAAGACGGATTAATAACTTACATTGGGGAGGGGGTACCAAGGCACTCTTGGCCCTATAATCACTAGTGCAGGCTGCTTGCAGTATTTATTTAATATTTATGACATGTTATATAATCAGCTTTTGCACATTGAGGTTGTAGTGGCATCTCGAACTGGAGTAGTTTTTTTGGTTTTTTTTATTTGTTTTTTCGCTTAAATTACTTTTATTTATTTCCCAGCAAGATTTGTGAGCTTTGCTGACTGAGGGTATGTTTTGTGCAAAGAACTAGTTCATTATATTTATGATCCTTGCAGCACAGACAAATCAATGACCAATTGTTTTTAACATTTTCTTGAACACAATACTCTTTCGTATATATCTAAAGCTATTTTAATAGATTCTACTGAACACAAAAGCTACTTTAGTCTTCCTCAGTGGTGTTCTCAAAATTAGAATAATTAGCATTTCAATCTCAAAACCTATCCTACCAGCATTTAAACGATACTTGTGAAAGAAGATAGAAAATAATCCCTGTTAAATAAGGAAAGTCTATGGATCGTAACCATTAGGCTGTGTGCTGACTGGGCATTAAATTAAAGACATCTGTGAGGTTCTATCCGACAGATTAATTAACAGCCATCTCCTCGGTTACATTTAGCTTGCTGTTGGTTACGGGTGTTAATCCTGAATAACATTTGTATTGGAAATATCAGATTCTGTCAATGCACAGCAAATATTAAATGGATATTGAAATTTAATTATTTTAAACAATACAAAATACATACAAAAAGATGAAACAAAATTCCTTAATATTACATGATGACATAGTAAATACCTCAAATGAATTGTATCAACATATCTTAAACCGTGGGTCTCAAAGTCCCATGGGGGCCACAGATCCATACTGCCAGATGAGTTCACATAAGCACAAGTTATTCCCATACACGTAGACCATTATAGGCAAACACGCCAATGTATTTTAATAGCTACACACACATAATATCCATAATATCCCTCCTCCTTCCCTTCACGTTCCTGTACTGTATTTGGTTTTAAATAGCTACAAAATTGACCGTAATACTATTTTTCATAGCTGTGACCTCAATGTGTGTAGTAGAAGAAATATGTCTGAAAGTAGCATTGCTGAACTCTTGGTGCTGCTTCATTGAACTGTCTGTACCAGTCAGTTCCATAACTGAAGTGCAGGCAAAAACGTTACTAATGATACTGGCAGGAGCAAACAGAGCAGGACAAACACATCTCCTCAGTTGGCCAGCCTCCTCAACCACAGAAAATAAGAGTGCAGTCATTGCTCTGGTGAGGGACAGGTCACCAGCAATCAGGAACATGTATGAACAGGTATGCCCAGGATTTGGACATAGTCCTCTATCATGGCATGGGTTGTGGTGGGCTGCATTAAAATATTCGGGGAGTGGAACAGAAATGGCCTATGGGACAGTACTTTGAAATCCCTGTCTTACTATTATTATTATTATTTATAAAGCACCAACAAATTCCGTAGCACTGTACAATGGACACGTATTTGTAACCAGACGAATTGGACACACAGGAACAGAGGGATTGAGGGCCCTGCTCAATGAGCTCACGTGCTAGAGGGAGTGTGATATAGTGACTCAGAAGGTAAGGGTAGGGTAGAAAAATAGGTTACTATGATAGTATTCACTGAGGGCTTAGTGTTTTGTTTGGATGACAGTTCCAGGAGAAGAGTCAGGGTGTGGGGACAGAAAGCTGTTGACAGTTAAATTGATATGCTTCCTGAAGAAGTAAGTTTTTAAAGATTTTTTAAGGAGTGGAGACTGGGTGAAAGTCTAACAGAGAGGGGAAGGGCGTTCCATAGGAATGGTGCAGCACTAGAGAAGTCTTTAAGGCGAGCATCAGAGGTAGGAGTACGAACAGAGGTTAGACATAGGTCTTCAGCAGAGCGTAGAGCAGTGGCGTACATACCAGGGTCGCAGGGGTCGCGGCTGCGACCGGGCCCGGCCCACCAGGGGGCCCAGCCGCCCTGCGACCCAGTATGTAGCCACAGGGCCAGCCTCTTCCCGTGGGGGGCCCAGGGGGGCCGACCACCCCAGGGCCCCCTGAGGCTGGCCCTGCTGACCCCGGCGGGCTGGCTTGGTGGACGGCGCGCGAGGGAGCACTCACTGCTTCCTCTTCAGCTCCCTTGCGCGCCGCATAGGGATGCCGGAGCCGGAAGATGACGTCATCTTCCGGCTCCGGCATTAGTAAGGTGCGCGAGGGAGCTGAAGAGGAAGCAGTGAGTGCTCCCTTGCGCGCCGGCCACCCAGACAGCCCCCCCAGCAGCACCACTGGACCCCTGGGAATCCCCCCAGCACTCCAAAAGGTAAGGAGGCTGGGGGGATTAATTTTTTTTTTAAATGTGTGTGTGTTAGTGTGTGTGTTAGTGAATGTATGTGTGTATGTTAGTGTATGTGTGTATGTTAGTGTGTGTGTGTATGTTAGTGTGTGTGTTTGTGTGTATGTTAGTGTGTGTGTGTATGTTAGTGTGTGTGTGTGTATGTTAGTGTGTGTGTTAGTGAATGTATGTGTGTGTATGTATGTGTGTGTATGTGTGTGTTAGTGTATGTGTGTTAGTGTATGTGTGTATGTTAGTGTGTGTGTGTATGTTAGTGTGTGTTAGTGTATGTGTGTGTTAGTGTATGTGTGTGTTAGTGTGTGTGTGTGTATGTTAGTGTGTGTGTGTATATGTTAGTGTGTGTGTTAGTGAATGTATGTATGTGTATGTGTGTGTGTGTGTGTTAGTGTATGTGTGTGTTAGTGTGTGTGTGTATGTTAGTGTATGTGTGTTAGTGAATGTATGTGTGTGTATGTGTGTGTTAGTGTATGTGTGTATGTTAGTGTATGTGTGTGTTAGTGTGTGTGTGTATGTTAGTGTGTGTATGTTAGTGTGTGTGTTAGTGAATGTATGTGTGTGTATGTGTGTGTTAGTGTATGTGTGTATGTTAGTGTGTGTGTGTGTGTGTATGTTAGTGTATGTGTGTATGTTAGTGTATGTGTGTATGTTAGTGTGTATGTATGTTAGTGTGTGTGTATGTTAGTGTGTGTGTGTTTGTGTGTGTGTTAGTGTTTGTGTGTGTGTGTTAGTGTGTGTGTCAGTGAGTGTCAGTGAGTGTGTCTGTTATTGGGTGTGTGTCTGCTAGTGAGTGTGTTACTGTGTGTGTCTGTTACTGAGTGTGTTTGATGTCTGTTAGTGAGTGTGTGTTTGTCAGTGAAAGTGTATGTTTTGTAAGTGAGTGTGTATGTCTGTAGCTGAGTGTGTCTCTGTCAGTAAATGTGTGTGTCTGTTAGCTAGTGTGTATGCGTCTGTTCGTGAGAGTGTGTGTGTGTGTCTTCAGCATTTACCTTTCTCCAGCGTCGGACTCCCTTGGTGCTGGGGATCCCTCAGCCTCTCAGCTCCGAATGCACATGCGCGGCAAGAGGCGCATGCGCATTTAAACCGCCCATAGGAAAGCATTACTCAATGCTCTCCTATGGACATAGTGTCTTCTCACTGTGATTTTCACAGTGAGAATCGCGGAAGCTCCTCTAGCAGCTGTCAATGAGACAGCCACCAGAGGCTGGATTAACCCTCAGTGAAACATAGCCGTTTCTCTGAAACGGCTATGTTTTCAGCTGCAGGGTTAAAACTAGAGGGACCTGGCACCCAGACCACTTCATTGAGCTGATGTGATCTGGGTGTCTGCAGTGGTCCTTTAAGTGTGTGTGCATACCGCGGTCGCGGGGTCGCAGCCCTGCAACCCCTGCGACCTGGTGCCCGCCGCCATGTGTTGCGGCCCCGACCCGCGCCGAGTAAGCGCGGGGGGGGGCCACGGATCAATTTTCGCACCGGGGCCCCATGGATCATGTGTACGCCACTGGCGTAGAGGCATGATGGGACATATTTGTGTATTAGGTAGGATAGATAGGTTGGAGCAGCATTGTGTAGAGATTTGTAATCGGGAGCTTTTTTTGCAGTAAAACCCAATCCCCTTAGCAATGCCTCCTCTTTTTACAAGATATCTGCATGATTGCAAGTACTTGGGAGATGTCCTCAGCTCAGCCAGTGAGAGATAAGAGTGAGATGACTCCATCCCACAGCCAATCACTGTCCTATTTCCATCTAACACAGTTCCAACTGTATCCAAAACTTCAACCAGTGGACGTGCATTAATGAGTATGATTGTATTAGTCACCAGCAGTACACACAAATGCGATCTTATTTTTAATGGGAACACACATGAGAATGAAAAACTCAGCTGTCTCATAACGGCTCATAGATAAATCTGAATGAATCATCTCTTTCAATATATAAAATTGGCAGACCGGTTGGAGTGGTCCTATGACAGATGATTATTTTTCAGTTTATGCATTAAATAGTATGGAAGGTAAAATGTGTGTGTTTATTACTAACACCCACACCTTTTCATACAATAAACGAAAATATTCTCATACGCTAAATTCACTCAGCAGAGCATTGAGTAAAAGTAGGGGAAGGCATTACCATTGATCTATCGGTCAAAGCAGGGACTTTATTGAATATATAAATCTAAGAGTATGTCTATTTAGTTTACAATAAAGAATTTTTCAGTAAGACCTACATCAATTGACATAATAAAGTAATTATCAAGACGATTACTGTCGCCAATGTATTCTGTCTGATGTAGAGATATTAATTGAACACTCCAAGCACTATAACCACTACAGCCCGCAGTATTGGTTATGGTGCCTGAAGTCATTTTGATATTGAGCTGTTTTGGATAAACGTAATAATAGTAATGTTGTCCAAGAAACATCAATTTAATCATCAAAGCTTCTTGAAGCATTTGTCAAATGCTGTAATATATACAGATTTCCAGAAAAATTGGATCAATGCAGGTCTATTAAAAAGCCAAGTTGGCTCATTCAATAGATCTAAAAAGTCAATGTTTCATTTCTTATCTGGCTCATTGTGATATCTCTCTGAAATTTTAAAGAATACCAATTGACTAAAAATGTCTGTCCGTAAGGATGAGATCTTGTGAACTGTGATGTGATTTTTGGAAAGATGAGGATAAATAAATGATTAACAATAAGTTGAATATGTTATTATTGGATATATGTATTGGGATAAATGTTAGAATTAATTTTGTTGAGGATGTATGTCTATTGCCTATTGAAGTCTGAAGTTATTTTAATCTTGTATACCTGAAAAATGGCAAATTGGTTTGGATATACAGAGAAACTAACTTTCTATGTAATATTGTTATTTTTTTGCAATGTGTGTTTTTGCATAATTTACTGAGACAGATATATTTGCACACATGAATTACATTTTTTACATTACCTATTCAACAATATTAAAAGCTGTTTCACAATCCTTGAAACCCAGGTTGTTAGATGTGTGTTGTTTGCTTTGAGCAAGTGCTTCTCAGACATAACAAAGGACATTTTTAACATGCATGTTGCGTCACACAAAACACTAGATCTGACAAGCTATATTCCTTCTTCGTACATTATATACCATCTAGCAGCTGGTGATTACCTGCCTTTTCAGTTGAAAAAAAAATCATCTGCAACTATCTGAACTAAGCATGGAATGACATGTCTGAAAGGATACTTGTCCGTTTTACACAGTTCACGTGACATATATGTATTAACGTTTTATCTTCTACAAAAGAAATATTTAAAACAAAAGTTCATCAATGATTTAAAATAAGATTTTGATCATTTTAGTTCTGTTAGGTGTTGTAACTTCCTATAAATATGAAAACGGACATGTTCACAAAACAACTGAAATAATGTATAATATTGAACATAGAAACATAGAAACATAGAATGTGACGGCAGATAAGAACTATCTGCCCAACTAGTCTGCCCAATTTTCTAAATACCTTATCTTATAGTTAGGATAGCTTTATGATTTGGTTTGATTTAAAGGGACACTATAGTCACCTGAACAACTTCAGCTTAATGAGGTTGTTCAGGTGAGAACTATAGCTCCCTGCAGCCTTTCTCATGTAAACACTGTATTTTCTGAGAAAATACAGTGTTTACATTGAAAACTAGGAACACCTCCAGTTGCAGTCACTCAGAGTGAACCAGAGGGACTTCGGAGTTGACAAAGGCATAATATGCCTCCCTCCACTCAGATCTGCTGTCAGCAGAGCACAGGGCAGCACTGTGCACAGCATCCTGTGATTCAGTATCTCCTCCCTCTGCATGCAGACACTGAACTTTCCTCATAGAGATTCATTGATTCAATTAATCTCTTTGAGGAGATGCTGATTGGCCAGGGCTGTGTTTGAATCATGCTGGATCTGCCCCTGATCTGCCTCTTTGTCAGTCTCAGCCAATCCTATGGGGAAGCACTGTGATTGGATCATGCTACCACATTTCAGCAGACTGCTTGTTTTTCTGAGTCTAACAGCATGCAGATTTACAGCTTCAGGCTTGAATACAGTAAGATTTTTACTATATTTATGGAGGCATGAGGGGCCCAGGGAGGCTAGATGGTGGTTTAACACTATAGGGTCAGGAATACATGTTTGTGTTTCTGACCCTATTGTGATCCTTAAAACACCATGGTAATATATTGATAATTAAACTATACACTGATCAGCCACAACATTAAAACATATATTGTGTAGATTCCCCATCATGCTGCCAAAACAGCTCAGATGAATTTAGGCATGGACTCCACAAATGGACTCTGAATGTGTCCTGTAGTATCTGGCAACAAGACATTAACAGCAGATTCTTTAATATCTAAATTATATACAATCGCTATTCACCAGGAAAAAAAACACCAAAAATAAATTAAACATATGCTTAAAATAAGTGGCAGAGTTTGTATTTGGATACTCAGTTGCATTGAGATCTTGGAAACTTGGAGGCCAAGGCAACAACTTGAACTCATTCTCATATTTCTCAAATAATTCCTGAACAATTTTTGCAGTATGGCAGAGTGCATTATCCTGCTGAAAGAGGCCACTGGCATCAAGGACAGGGCTATCATGGGCACTACAACCAGTCTGCGACTATGCAGCCCCATACACAGCAATCTGTGATGCACTGTGTGTTCTGACACTTTTCTATCAGGGACACCATTAAGTTGTTCAGCAATTTAAGCTACAATAGTTCTGTCACTGGCTCTTTGTGAGTCCTTGTTCTGTTCATCGTTATTAGCCTGTAGTACTATGTAACAAAAAAATATTTGCTAATAGCATAATTATGTATGTTAACATGATTCATACCTGCTATCACTTATAACTGCTTCTATAATAAGCTACAAATACAGATTAAGGA